TTCATGTCATTTTCATCTTAAGTCTTTGTTTTCCACCAGGAGACATTTTTTTCATGTCTTCATGAATGAAAGTGAACATTTAAAGTCAATTTTAGCAGAGTTAAAAAAATTAAATAAAGGCTTTTTCACCCATGATGAGTTTGCATCCCTGGTGGTACTTTGCTGATGGTTTCAGTGGTTCTTAACACATTTTTCTTGTGTTTTTCCACAATCCCTTTCATTCTCCCAGAATCTACTTTAGCGGAGAAGCCATTATCAAACTCTGGTTATTCTCAGCCTTTGTCCATAAACCCCTCCAGCACATCCAGCTCCTCCTCGTCCTCCACAGTGCCTGTGTCTCCTGCCCTGCAAGCTTCAGCCTCCACTCTGCTCCAGGACCCAGCACTCCTTCGGCAGCTGCTGCCTGCGCTCCAGGCCACCCTGCAGATGAATCATGGCAATGTAGACATGGGCAAAATTAATGAAGGTATTAATGAAGGAATGGCTACGCAGTGCTTCTCACAGGGTTTTGAGAGACTATTGGGAGTAGACAGTGTAGTCGGGTCTTGTAAGAAAATGTTGTACATTTAGATGTTAAATGCATCAATCTGGTGCACTTTGAGTGTTCAAAATTAAGAGCTCCAACCCATTTTCAGTATCCAAATTAAATAGTAAATTGCTTTGATTTGTACATGGATTTAAAATGGACTAAAACATTTTTTTAGTTGTGATAGTGTCTTAGTCTACATTACATTCACATTGTTTTTTTTAGGAGGTCAAACAATTAGAATATAATAGAATATAGATTATAAGTGACTTACATTTGGGAATACAACGTGCATTTTAGTTATTGTTATTATTATTTTCTGTGCAAATGCACTCTCCTACAAAATCACCCCAATCATTCTTGTCATCTTGAACCTCTTAAAACAATGTTTTCTTTGTGCATTTCTTTAAAGTTAAGAGATCAGATCTTTTTTTCCAGTCTTGTAACTTTTCATGCTGCTTACACTGTCATTTTTCTGTGTCATTTCCTATTGATCATGAATCATGTGATTCAAGCATAAATTATACAGAGGTAGGCCTGGGTACAGATTTTTTTTT